TCAACAACATTGGATGGGGCTTCCTCCTGCATGCTCCTCCCACCCATGTGTACCCTCAAGCAGTGATGGAGTTCCTGGCCTCCATCTCCTATGCCGAAACTCCCTCCATGATCCCAGGCCTGTCACCAACGAAGATGGTGACATACTTTATGAGTGGGATGTATCGGACCACCACCCTGGACGAGTTCAACGTATCCATTGGATTCGTCTGGCCCGAGGACGTGCTGACCCGGGAATACCAGGAGGCCATCTGCGCATGCCCCACCAACCTCACCGCCGACGAAATGTGGGAGGAACTCACCAGGGCCCCCACTCTGCCCACACTGATGAAGGGCTCAGCACTCCCCCCAACCCTCCGCATTTGCCACAAGCTGCTGGCGGGGACCATACACGGCAGGAAGGAGAGTCAGGGAAAGGTAACGCTCCCCGACCTCTTTGTCCTTTACTGCATGTGCCAAAGGCGTTGATGCAACCCTGGCTACTTCTTCCTGAAGGCCCTCAAGGACTTCGGGAGTAGGCCAGTGGGAGTTATCCTCATGGCCCCCTCATCACCCCCCTGGCAGAAAAATGGGGGTGCAGTGGCCGGGAAGAACTGGCCTCCAGTCAACGGCCCAAATCTATCAAAGGGTCGATACTGGTCAGCATGGGGATGCTCATGCGCCGTGGAACCCAGCCGGTCCTCCACCCATCGCTGGATTTCGCCTTGGACCTCCAGGACATCGTGGCAATGCACGATCTCCCGACACCTCCCGACTTCCAACAATAGCAACAACAGCAGCATCAGTAGCAGTACACAAACGATTTTGCTGGCGTAAACCGCAACATCTACGATCTGCGCCAGCAATTCGAACAGATGTCTGTGAGGCAGAAGCAGATGTCCCTAAGGCAAGAAGCCTTCGACACCAGACTTGAGACGATATACCAGTACCAAGAGGGAATGCGGCAAGACTGGGCAACGTTCTAGCAGGAATACCGCGACGAGATCCGGGACCAAGCAGAGTTTCGGAGGCACATGTACCAGCAATTCCCCTCCTACGGATCGTCTCCAGACGATAGCCCATAGTCTTAGGGATAGCACTCGCAGAATAAGGCTGCTGTAATAAAATCTTTCATAAATAAAATTTTATTCCAAGCATCTTTTTATCCCTTCCAAAAGTCAGCATAATCAAAAGAAAATAAAGAGTAAAAAGACTTACGCTCATTGAAAAAAGCCAAAATCTAGAATCGCGAGAAAAAAGAGATAAAACCGCGAAAAAGGCAGGATTGAAACAAAGTCAACCACCTTGACCAACAAAACTTCGACAACCAACCAAGAGTCGAACACAAACAAAGCCCACCCGACCAACCAGCAAGAGTCGGGTGATCATCATCAAAAGACCAAAAACAAAGAATCCCCAGCAACCAACAAAGCTGGATGAACACCAACAAAATCCCCGGCGCAGACCGGATGACCAAATCAGAAACAAAGAAAACACATCTCAACATGCGGCGCATGAGCCACCTGAGCAGTAAGACGCCACCACCACCAGTCCTACACAACGGACTGTGCCAGCTTGATGGGGGGTTCATACCCATCCAGTCCAACACACAGTGGACTGCAACTACCAACCTGATGGGGGGTTCATACCCATCCAGTCCAACACACAGCGGACTGCAACTACCAGCCTGATGGTGGGTTCATACCCATCCAGTCCAACACACAGCGGACTGCAACTACCAGCCTGATGGGGGGTTTATACCCATCAACCGAAGGATCGGCTACCGCTAGAAGGAGTATCCTGAGGTTCTACCACGTGTCAACCAAAGGGATCGGCTACCGTCAGAAGGAGTATCTTGGAGGTGCACGACACAAATTTTCCCAGAAGATCAACCGCCGCAAGACGGAACATCCGAAGGGCAATCGGGCAAGAGGGTCAACTCCTTTACCTTCCAGTCGTTCTTCTTGGCACAACAGGCCAACAGCCGACTGGTCAGTAAAGGGGGGGGAAGCTGTAGACCCCTAATCTTGCCCGACCTCATAATAAAGATCAGAAGACCTTCTATTCGAAGATGGATGAAGCCTAAGAAGCCACTAGGAGAGACTATTAGGCCCCATACTAGGATAGGAGGGATTTTTGGCCCAAAAATAAGGATTTTCACCTTTTAAGGTCGAGACCGCCGTCTTGGATTCGAGACCGCCGTCTTGGATTTGAGACCGCCGTCTCGCCTTGCACGAATGGCGAGACAGCCGTCTCGTTTGGCGAGACGGCCATCTCGACCTTGTCAAACGAGACGACCCGTCTCGACCTAACAGGCGCGAATCCCTATAAATAGGAGTGTCATTCCCCTCATTTCCCACAGTTCTTCCATTCTCTCTCTAGACTTTTCACCAAATTCTCTTTCTAGAACCCCTCCGAAGAATTTCCAGAGTTTCTAAGAGTTTTCTAGAGTGTTTTAGAGCGTTTTCGAGAGATTTCGGCGCTGTAAAGAGTGAAGGGCTGCCAAAAAGCACCCTATTTTTGCAAAGAATTAATAGAAAGTCCGCTTCGGAGGTTCCTACTCTCTCTCTCTACTTTACTGCTTTAATTTTAATTATGCAATAGAAACTAGGGCCATGTAGTCATAATTTTAAATTCCGCGAAATAAAAGGGTAAAAGCGTATTTTTCACCGGTTTATTTATTTATCCAAAGTAGCTAGCCCATCATAGGGAACCCGAAAGGGGCATCGTAAGGGAACTAACACTTCCCTTACACGTAACTAACTCCCTTACCCAACCCTGGTTCTAATGACCAAAGTTCGTTTTTCAAAAACCAACGCCTTTTAACTCCTTTTCTGATGTTTTCGGTAAAAATGTCGGTGGCGACTCCAGAAGAACCCTTCAAAAACTAGTTCTTGGTTTAGCCCGGTTATCGGACAATCCAAGAACGCCCTTTCGAAAACCTCACCCCTAGGTTCAGCCCGGTTATCGGACAACCTAAAGGCGTTTTAACCACACCAATAAAAACGCGAAAAATGGAAAGTCAGAACCATTGCGTCGCTCCGACCACCCTCGTTTTGACGGCGGCGACATGCGCCCCTCCCTTTCCTTGGGGATGTCAATCCTCCTATTAATTACTATCTCCACATTTCCCTACTACTTACTAGAATGTCGTAGTGGTAAGGGTCAAGAGAAGAGAAAGAAGAGGATATTTAATTCAAAGGCTTGTGTTTTAGAATTGTTTTATTTTGACAAAAAATGGTTTTTGTAAGCGTGGCTAGCCAAGGTTGGTTAGAGTGTTTAGGCTAGTTTAAACAACGTTTTTTTTAACTCCTTTTCCAATGTTTCTGGTAAAAACATTGGTGGCGACTCCAGAGAACCCTTAAAAAACTAGTTCTTGGCTTAGCCTGGTTATCGGAAAATCCAAGAACGTTCTTTCGAAAACCTCGCCCCTAGGTTCAGCCCGGTTATCGGACAACCTAAAGGCGTTTTAACCACCAATAAAAACGCGAAAATTGGAAAGTCGGAACCATCGCATCGCTCCGACCACCCTCGTTTTGACGGCGGCGACATGAGCCTTTATACCATTTTCTTTCATAGCCATTAACCCATAGCCACATTACAAACCAAATAAAAGTCCACGCTGATTAAGGAATGGTTGTTTGGTTTTGGCAATGCTTGATCCTATGATAAGATTCCTTGCCTAACGATATGACTGCTAAAAAAGAAAAAAAAAAGGCATACAACACAAAAAGAAAAAAAAATAAGGATCAAAATGCTTGAACTATCTTAAACAATAGATAAGCCAGGTGAAGGGGCAACCTTGTCGCTTTCGCTGTACCATGCCAAAATGGGGGGCAATCCTTCTACTATCCTACCATCACCTTGGGAGCAATTCTTCCTATCTTTGTCACCTTCAACATCAAAATAGGGGCAATCATGTCCATCTCTTTCATACCACTGCTATAATGGGGGGCAACCCACACTTTTCTCTAACCTTTTATTATTAGGTTTCCCTGCAACTTGAAATTAGGGCAATATTGTCTGTTTCTGTAACTCCACCTTATGCAGTTATTTTTCCATTTAAGGAATGTCAAAAGGGGAACCTCCTTACATAACCTAACATCATCACCAACTTCCTTCAAGCCTGTCAACTTAGCTAAACAAGCCATATCTCTAAACAACCAGTCAAGCAGACATTTGATTCTTCAATGTTTCAAAAGAAAATGTCAATTTTGCCATACTTTAGTCATTGCATTAGGCTTCAGGATTTGCAATGCCCCCCCACTTGTATTCTTTAAAGTGAATAAAATGACAACTTTTCATGGATTTGATGATTATGAAGGGAATAATCAATTCAAAATGCTTGAATTCTTAAAAAGTAAAAAAATCAAGAAAAATTGAAAAGAAAAGTGCATAAAAAAAAAAAAAACACAAATAAACAAAGTGTTGCAACTTGCCTATTAGAAACAAGCATCCATACATCCACATTGGCATCTATATCAATCCTATGCATCCATGCATAATTGCCTCTTATTTTGGAATCAACATCAATAACATGCCTTCATCAATACATACAATCACAGTGGCATTAACATAAACCACATGCATTCACACATCCTTATCCACATCAACAACATTGACATTTACATCATCCATGCATTCATACATACATTGAATTTGATTTGTGCATTCTCACGTTTTGCATTGGCACCGACATTCATTCGTACATTCAAGTTATTGCATGCGTCCTGTCATCCCCACTTGCTTGACATATACGTGCATCCACGCATCCTCGTCTCTCATATCAGCATTTGCATTTCAGCCCAGTCCAACTGGCACCCACATTAAGTCCAGCCTACCTAGCACCCGCATCGTCATCTTCCTGGCACTTGCATTAAGTCTAGTCTACCGGGAATTTGCATTAAAAAGTCCAGTTTTCCCTGGCAACATCAAATATCCATCTTCAAATAGTTTGGATTGATGATATGTGCTTTCCACGGGTGATCTATACATCTATTTTCAAATAGTTCAGATTGACGATCAGTCTCTTGCACAAGGAACTATACATCCATTTTCAAATAGTTCTGATTCATGATCAGTCTCTACTACGCGAGATCTATACATCCATTTCAAGCAGTTCGGATTGATGATCAATCCTTTCCTATTGCGATCTATACATCCATTTTCAAATAGTTCAGATTCATGATCAGTCCCTTCCACAGGCGATCTATACATCAATTTTCAAATAGTTCGGATTGATGATTAGTCCCTACGACGGGTGACCTATACATCCATTTCAAGCAGTTAGGATTGACGATCAATCCTTTCTACGGGCGATCTATACATTCATTTTCAAATAGTTCGGATTGATGATTAGTCCCTTCCACGGGCGATCTATACATCCATTTTCAAGTAGTTCAGATTGACGATCAGTCCCTACCACAGGCGATCTATACATCCATTTTCAAGCAATTCAGATTGACAATCAGTCCCTTCCATGAGTGATCCATATATCCATTTCAAGCAGCTCGGAGTAATGATCAGTCCCTTCCAAAGGCAATCTATATATCCATTTTCAAGCAGTTCGGATTGACGATCAATCCCTACCACGGGCAATCTATATATCCATTTTCAAGTAGTTCGGATTGATGATCAGTCTCTTCCACGGGAGATCCATACATCCATTTCAAGTAGTTTGGATTGATGATCATTCCCTTCCATGACAATCTATATATCCATTTTCAAGTAGTTCGTACTGATGGTCAATCCCTTCAACGGGTGATCTATACATCAATTTTCAAATAGTACGGATTGACGATTGATCGATGTCGTACTCAGTCAAATAATTAAAATAGATAAATGTAGTACTAGGAACCTTTCCTAGGTCGTCTCCCAAAGACCACGAATTTCTATCAAAGCTTATCAATTTTTCAAATTAGAACAACAACAAAAGGGGGGGTTTTTCAGAATTAAAATATTAGATGAAAGAGAATAAAAGCATATTATAAAAAAATGGATTAAAAACATATTAGAATGCAATTGATTTCCTAATTCCAATGCAGTGTAACCTATCCTAGGTTACTAAATTAATTTGAAATTAACCAACTAAGCGAAGATAAATCACAAATTATATTCCAATACAAAATTAATCAACTAAGCGAAGATTAATCCCAAATTAGCTTTAACACTTATTCCAATATGAAATTAATCAACTAAGCGAAGATTAACCCCAAATTATCCTTAACCCTTATTCCAATATGAAATTAACCAACTAAACAAAGATTAACCCCAAATTATCTTTATACAATTAAGCATTGCATACATCACATAATCTCATCTCTAACACAGAATTAAGTAAATTGTGATATTAGTTTCAGTTTATTAAGCATAAACATATTATAATTCAATACTAAGATTAGAAGATGAAGAGTTAAGAGAACAAACAAAATGAAATTGAAGAACAAAACCTTAAAGGTCTACTTGCTATCCATGAAAAATCGAAAACGCAGAAGAAGAGACATAATAAAAATTGAAGCAAGAATTTAAAATAATGACAAAAGAATAAACAAAATTGAATACAAATTTCAGAAGATGAAAGGCGGTTGTGTGGTGTCATTCTCAAGCCTACTTCATCCTTTATATAAATAATCTTAACCCTAATCTTAATCTAGGTTTTGGACCATAAGTTGGTTCCAGTGCAAGTCTGCAAACTTCAAACACGTGCAGTATTTTTAATACTTATCCAAATTAAGAGATTCTAGTCTCCTTTGAAATCCTTTTGAGTTAGCTTTAAAAGTCCACCATTTATAATATTTTTGGAGCTCTAATAAATTTAGTAGACTTAGATTACTCAAGCATGTCCATTGGGCCGGCCTGGTGCGCTTGACCCAATTTGGAAAATTTATGTAAAATCCAATTTAGATTCGAATTGAATGATTATGGATCCTCTAGAAAGCTAAATGTGTCTAATTTATAATGCTTCCAGAATCCTGATTTTTTGAGCTTTGTAGAAAAAATGATAAATAAAATAGTGAACCAATGTTAGTACCCGTATAGAATAAAATATGACAATTGGCCCAATTTTCCAAGCCCAAAATTGCTTTAAACTATAATATGGCATCTGGCCCATTCTTCTAGGCCTAAAATTGCTTTAAACTGTCCTGAAAAATAATAATGAGCAAAAATTAGATCAAATAGATTGAAATTAATTAAAATCTAAATTATTGGCCAATGAAGCCCAATTAGTAAAAATTCACTAATAATAGAAAGTTAAGCCCAAAACACTAATCGAAATAAGTTCAGAAAGGGAAGAAAATATGGGAATATAATGACTCATCAAATAACCCCACACTTAGCCTTTTGCATTCCTGGGCAAAATCAAGGAACAAAGCAAGGAAATAAATCCAAAAACATTAAAGAAAATCATGCAAAGAATAGAAACAAAGACAAAAATAATGACAAACCAGAACATAAACAGAATTGTAGACTCCTTAATGAAACCTAGGAATCAAAAGCGATAGACAACCTCCAACACTCAAAGAGTCAAAGAAACCTGACATCTATGGACATAGTCCAAAAATTCAAAACATGTTAAGAAAATCAATCTGCTCAAGAGGTGAATGAATATCAACAAAATGTCACAAGATATGCACTTTATCACTCAAGTGTTTAGGCTACTATTTACTCTAAAAGCACCCATGAAAAACAAGCACCACATAGACTTGGCAAGCATCTAAAATCAACAACCAAAAACACATGCACATATAGATCACAAAAACTTTCAAAAGTTGTAATGGGGCTGAGAACAAGGTATGGAATGTATGGATAAGTAGCTTAAAGAACAAAGAAAATAGAGGAGCAATGGGGAATGAGTCAAAAATACACATGAAAGTAAATCGACCAATTTTAATCCTCACACAATGTCCAAACATATTTCTTTGCTTTCTTTTATTATTATTTTTTTCTCATATTTTTCTTCTCAAAACCATGATTAGCTACAATTGAAGAATCCAAGAACTAGCACAACTAGTTATAACCTCCACTTTTTGAGCACCCATTCCCAAAATAATTCCAAAGCTCCAAAATTTCCTAAGGTAGGGTAATCATGGTTTTTCAGGCTAAGGGCTTGTAATGAGTTATAAAAAACAATGAAAAAGGGCCATGGGCTCAAAGAGGTTATCAAAGGGAATTATTCAAGGTAGGCTCATTTGGCTAGAGGCTTATAAGAATAAAAATGTCTAATTCATCTCCAACCATGCATGTGAATCAAGAAGCATCAAAAAGAGTCAAGCCAAGGCTACTGTGCAAGCAATCAAGAGGCATAACACACAAGAAAGAAAGAATAGAGAGTGACTTAAAACCTCACTTAGGGTAAATCTGTCACTTCCAAATCAACCTCTCAAACCTCAAAATCCACTTGACATGCAAAGAAGAACAAGGATTTCAATCCATAGAATATCAAACAACTCATATCCAAGAGTGAAGTAAGTTCCTACTACCTATAAAAAAACCCAGAAATAAAGAAAAATATGCAAAACTATACACAAAACACAGAATATAAACCTAAAATCCTACATCTCCCACCCCACACTTAAATCAGACATTGTCCTCAATGTAAACACAATCATATCCACTAAGCAAGATAAAAGAGTGGAAGGGGAAAGAATAACTCCCTAATCATGGTGGGTCCCGGATCTATCTCCTCAGATGGTACAGGTGTTGAGGCCATCAAGTAGCAACTTTGTTCAGCTAAAACAAACAAAGTCTTCCTGATCATGGTGGGTCTCGGATCTATCTCCTCTGATGGTACAGGTGTTGAGGCCATCAAGTAGCAACTTTGTTCAGTTAAAACAAACAAAGTCTTCCTGATCATGGTGGGTCCCAGATCTATCTCCTCAGATGGTACAGGTGTTGAGGCCATCAAGTAGCAACTTTGTTAAGCTAAAACAAACAAAGTCTTCTTCTTCATTAAGGTGGAAAGAGGCAATGTCACCTTATTTTTCACCTCATCAAGGATGGTAGGATTCATCTTTCGTTGGGACTTCCCCACAGGCCTGCAATCATCTTCCAGCATGATTTTGTGCATGCAAATAGTATGGTTGATCCTAGTGAGGACATTTAAGGAGCAATCAAATGCTTTCTTACGCTCTTTTACGACCTTCAACAATCTTCCTTCTTGATCAGGGAGGATATCACTAGATATGATCACAGGTAGCTTTCCAAACTCCTCTAAATAAGCATACTTTGAATGGGATGGAAGTGGTTTCAGATCTAACTCCTTCGGTTTCTGCTATGGTGTACTTGAAAGTGATGAAGATCTTATTGAATCATAAAATGAAGATCTTGTTGATTTGATGAAGTCAAAGGCTAATCTGATGAAATCAAAGATTACTTGGGTTAAAAGGGTAGAGTGATTATTGAGTCTGCATCTATACATAGGTATAATCATTCATATCTCTCTGCTGCATGAGGTTTCATCATTTGAAAGAATTTGAAAATGCCTCTAAAGATGTTTTTAATCCATTAAAAACTAAAGTAATCAGTTAAATTGTTTTTAGCAAATTGTTTTAATTGATATTATATGAGGTTTATCAATTAAAATGTTCTTAAAACTTACATAACATATTTTTAACTGATAGGTTTTCGAAATAATCGATTAAAACCTTTTAAAACATTCACTAGAACTGTTTTAATCAATACACTTTCGAATTAATCGATTATATTCATTAAAGGAGTTTTTGAAAACCTTCTGCCAATGTTTTAACTGATATAGTTCCGAAATAATCAATTACAATCACTTAAAATGTTTTGGAAAATGTTCTGGTAGTATTTTAATCGATACAAACTCGAAACAATCGATTAAAATAACTTGAAGTGTTTTGAAAGATGTTCTGTCAGTATTTTAATCGATGTAAAATCGAATTAATCGATTAAAACAATTTAAGGAAATTTTCGCTAACTGTTTTAATCGATTACAACTGGTTGTTATCAGTTAAAATCACTTAGAAAGTTTTATGAAAATATTTGGCAGAATTTTAATCAATTAAATTTTGAATTAATCGATTAAAACAACTTAAGGAATTTTTTACAAAGTGTTTTAATCGATCGAAACGTTGTCGTATCAGTTAAAACAAATCTTGAAAATAATCAAGAACATTTTAACAAATTAAAAAAAAGTTTTAACAGATTAATTCAAGACTTTTAACAAATTAAAAGATTGTTTTAACA